CCTTTAAGGGGACCCTATTCTAGAACCCTCTCCCTAAACCCTAAACCCTAAACCCTAAACCGATGATACCCCTTATTGATGGAACCCTATAGTTTCCTTCAGCAGGAATGAAGCAGCTAAGGTCCGTCCGCATCACGTACCAAATCCTTAAGTTCATATGGGAGGCCACAAACGAGTCGCTCCAAGTTCTTGCAGAAGCTCAGAACTAAAAGGGACGACCTTCAACTCTACTTAAAGGATCGTGGGATTTAGTAAGTAGGGTTATAATTAGGGTAACTATACTTATAACCCCAATTAAGGGACTTATAACCTTACTTACTAAGTCCCATGATCCTCCCAGTAAACCCTAAAAGAAAGAAACGAGCTACTCTCGAAGTCTCCTTCTTTGGCCAATGTCACACGCAGCAATCATCCCGGAATCTGAAAGCCAAAACCCCTACAGTAGAAGCCCAAAAGTTGAAAACCCAATAGCTTCAATCCGTAAGAGTCATGTATGGGGAATCTCAGCAGTAATTGTCCTTAATCCGGCTTTCAACTTCCTCGGGTTCACCGTAACATAGGGGCCTTAAGAACTACCTATACTATTTTGGGGGCTCCTTATTAGAACCATAGTATAATATACCCCAAAGCCCTATTCTAATTCTTAAGGCCCCTACACTTACCCACAGCAGCGCTGAATGAACAAAGTCCCGTGTACCAGACGTCCAGGCACTGAGCACTACAGCTGCCAGCTCAGTCTTCATCAGGGTTTTTGGCTCTGTGTCTGTGTGTGTGTGCGCAGCCTAGGGTTTAGGCTGCCCTAAACCCCTAAACCCCTAAACCCTAAACCCTAAATGTTGTCAAAGAGTGTGTGCAAGGCGTTGCGTTAGTTGCCGAGCGAAGCTTGATTTCAGCAGTCTCGGACTCGGATTCCGAAGTATATTTTGACTTACATCTAATCACACGAACCCTAAACCCTAAACCCTAAACCCTAAACGGGACCTCTGGCCCCTCTCGGCAGCGTCTCAGTGGCTACATTCGGGGTTGGGGTGCGTTGCAGGTCAAAGCAGCGATCTGATGTATGCTTCTGCCTTGATTGAGTTGAAAGCCGCCTTTGAGCTAATGGATTCGCATGACGTACCCTAAACCCTAAACCCTAAACCCTAAATCCTAAACCCTAAACCCTAAACCCCAAATCTTGCCTGCAGGTGACGAACTCTACAGTCATGGGTTTGGTGTGCTTTGCGGGCGCCTGAGCGAGTCGCGCTGGTCTTCACCCGTTTAGGATTTAGGGTTTAGGGCTTTGGGTTCAGGGTTTAGGGTTCAGGGTTCAGGGTTTAAGGTTTAGGGTTCAGGGTTTAGGGTTTAGGGGAAAACAAACAGGGAGCCCTGGTTTACATCCAGGTGCCTTTCTGAATCTCCAGCAAGCTTATCAAGAAACAGGTGCAGAATTAGAGCATGGGGTCCCGAAATTTCCCGACTCTTTCTCTATCTTTCGCGATTTTTCCGGATTTTCGGCACCGTGGCAGCAAGCCGCCCGAATGGGACTGCAGCATTTGGGAAAAGCACGGGATCACCTTGCGATTTCGCACTGCTTCACAGAAGTCCCGAATCTTACATCTCTGGACAAGCAAGTATTCGCAAAAGCCGATGTGGGATGTTGCTGGGTGTACAGGTTATACTGTGAGCTTTTCCTTTCGGGCGACTCTGCAGTCTGGCGAGCTTGGTTGGGTTTGCTGACCCTATAAATCCTCAAGGCTCGAAAGCACAGATACCCTGCATGGTTTTAGGGTGTAGGGTTAACTCTCGTCAATTTCCCCTCTAAACCTTCCAGTCATGAGCCGTCCTTCACAGGTGGTCGGCGTGGTGGTGGCCAGTTGCATCACAGCCTACTTTGATGGGTTGGAGGGCCTGAGGCTCTTCCTTGCGTAATACAGGGGCCGAAATAATTACCACTACCATTTTTCGTGGTTCCTTTTTATAAATGTAGTATCATGGGCCCCAAAACCCTACACCATTTTGGTGATTCCTTATTCTAAATGTAGTATGATGGGCCCCAAAACCCTATTCTAACTACTAAGGCACCTACATGAGGGTGGGCCGTTGGGCTTTCACGGTTGAGGGGAGGTTTTACAAGTTCTGGGCCCGGGGCTGCAGGGATCTTGGGGGCCTCAATTTAGGGTTTAGGGTTTAGGGTTTAGGGTTTAGGGTTTAGGAATAATTACCTATACTTCTTTATTATACAGGGTTTAAGGTTTAGGGTTTAGGAATAATTACCTCTACTTTTGTGGGGGTTCCTTATTACACATATACGTAGTATACTATACCCCAAAGCCCTATTCCAACTATTAAGGCCCTACATTGCCCCGTCAGTTAGACATGTTGGCCAGGTGGGGGTGCCGGCCGGCGTAGGGCTCCGTTTCGGAGATCTTGTGTTTGGGATTTGCGAAGACAAGGGCAGCAAAGGATCGTGGTGATGCAGTGCATCAATATCCACCCGAAGTTGCTGCGGTTCAGTATAGGCGACGTCAGTGTGATCATTGAGACGGAATCTTGGTCCGTGAACGCAAAAACCGAACTCTCGTGACTTTGCAGACCCCAAAGCCACAACCCAAGACCATGAGGAAGACAGCTTCTCTAAGAAAGTGCGTAGTTTGAACCGGATGGTACGGACTCAGGGTAGTTTCGCCGATGGAGCATGGACTTTGCAGGCTTAGCGTCATTGTGCTATCGAGTGTCAATGTTTGTGCATGTGCATGGAAGCATCGTACTATAGGGGCCTTTTCGGGTTTTGGGGTATAAAATTACTATAGCTATAATAAGGAACCCCCAAAAGAGTATAGGTAATTATTTAGGCCCCTACATTATATGGTTTGTACTGAGCAACCAAATTCTAGAGCATCATTGCCCCTGAAGCCTCAAGCCCTAATTACGTGGTCAAAGAAGTTTGTTTGCAGATGCGCATGGCAACCGGAGAAGATCCTGCAGCACACCTGGATCCAGAGTGCTTGGGGATCTGTGGCCTCTGAACTTCAGGCTTCGCGTTAGAACCACAGTTTCCGCGCGAGCAGGCATTGCGGTTTGAGTCTTTCGGGGAAGCCGCTGCGGTTTCAGAATCCAGACTCAGGCTTGTAATTGAGGTGATGAGAGCTATGCTTCAGCGCCGGAAGGTGCAGTGTTCTCTGTTGCTGCTTGTTGAAACAGCTTCTGACTGACTCTTACAGAACCACCCCCCCCCCATTCTTTTCCAGCAGCTCCCTAAACCAAGAATCCCTGAAGATTGAAGATCCTGAGGCCGATGATTTAAAGCGTGACCGTAGATGAAATCGTAGCGACCCTTCTGGGAGGTGCTCAAACAACATATTCGAGTCCGAAGCCCCGTGTGTTGCTTGTGGCTCGCAGCGGCAACCAGGTGCCGCAGCAACCAGACGTAGTTTGCGAAGGTTCTTTTCGATGCCTCGTCTCATGTCCTGGCAGCTTGCTCCAGCGCTGTTCATGGTAGTTGTACATCTCAACTTGAGTCGATTACACGGCTCCGCATAATTACACGGAAGTCTTCTGACGGTGTGCCTTGCATGCAAGTTGAATGAGATTTCGGGGTTTGGGTTCACGGGGGCCTGCATTTCACAGCACAAAATATGACTTAGAGTTTGGCTCGATGCTATGCGTCTATTGACTGCCGGGCTGGTGCTGCCTTCGGCGGCGCTGGCAGCAAGGGTGCCTGAGCTGCTGTCAAGGTTCCAATAGCAAGCTCAGATCTCAGGTTTATTCTGGGCAAGGCGCCCATGGAGAATTGAGGCTTTCCGTGAAAGTTTAGGGTTTAGGGTTTAGGAATAGACCTTAAATTGTAGGGGCCTGATTATTATGATTTAGGGTTTAGGGTTTAGGGTTTAGAATTTAGGGTTTAGGGTTTAGGGGTTAAGGTATATTCCTCAATTAGAGGGATCCGGGACTTTGGGCATCGCTTCCGATTCTTGGAGACGTTCGCTCGAGGGATCCCTCGAGCTTAAGAGTTGGTGCTCCACCCTAAACCCTAAAGCCCTAAACCCTAAACCCTAAACCCTAAACCCTAAACCCTAAAACCCTAAACCCTAAAACCCTAAACCCTAAGCCCGAAAACCCGAGAGCTCTAAACCCTAAACCCTAAAGCCCTAAACCCTAAGCCCTAAAGCCCTAAACCCTAAACCCTAAAACCCTAAACCCTAAGCCCTAAAGCCCTAAACTCCTGAAACCCTAAGCCCTAAAGCCCTAAACCCTAAACCCTAAAACCCTAAACCCTAAGCCCTAAAGCCCTAAACTCCTGAAACCCTAATCCCAAAGCCCTAAACCCCGAAACCCTAAAACCCTAAAGCCCCAAACCCTCTTTCATGCTTCAGAATACTGGGACCTGGTGCAGGTTAACGCTGGGTAAGACCTCGGGGTGCGAGGGAAGGCTGGTTCGGTTTTCGCCAAGAGACGTCAAAGACATCGCATTTCTGCCGCCGGGCTTGAAATTCAACAGAGCCCAACACCCTAATGTAGGGGCCTTAAACATTAGAATAGAGTTTTGTGCTACATTATACTATAACTATAAAAAGGGAAACTCCCCCAAAAGAGTATGGGTAATTATTAAAAGGCCCATATTAAACGGCCCATACATTAAACCCCCAAACCGCCTGCAGCGAGGTTCTTCTTTCCGCCGGGGATGAGGGCATCGGTGCCAGGCCTCCCTAAACCCTAAACCCTAAACCCTAAACCCTAAACCTGATCTTCGTCGAGAAGTGTCCGGCTTGGTAGACCTGGATCTGGAATGGGGTTCAGG